AGCAGTCGGATTACAGAAGTTAAGCTAGACACCTTAATCTTTCGAGCTCCAACATTTTCTTTGACTCTTGCATTTATTTTCTTGACTTCCCACACCCCGAACTATTGACTTGAATCCTGCAGTGAGTTAATTGTCTTCTGGCATTGCTGGATGCTCAGACCTTTTCACCTTGGGGATGTTGGCACAGGTGTGAGTGAAGCCTGAGTTCATGCTGCTTTTAGAAACCTACCACCCCAGGGAACCAGCAGTTAGCGTAATGGCTATGTCGCTGGACTCCCATGGAGTCGACCGCGGTTCATGTCCCGGACCTGGTGGCTTAAAACTCACACCGGGCGCGTGTGCGTGCGTGCCCAAGATCCCGAGAGGAGAATGGAGGAGAAGGGATTGAGGCATGACCATCCCCCCTGGGGGGGTGATTTCTCGCTTTCTGTCTCTCTGTCTCTCTCTGTCTGTCTGGCAAGCGCATGCGCCCTATAGCGAAAACCTCTCCATAAAAAAAAGATACCTACCACCCCAGTCAGTTGCCCCAACCCTACCATCATTGCTGTTTTGCTTCCTCATAGTCGCTTTTCCATATTGCCAGGGTCCTAATTCACGAATTCATGATTCATGGCCAGGCTTGCCTAAGTTATGACTTTCATTACCTTTCATCTAGACTGTGGCAAGAGTCTCATAATTGGTTTTCCTGCTTCTGGTCTCTCCCCTCTCCAATTTGTCTTTTAGTTGCCAGATTAATCTTTTTGAAACATAGCTCTAATCCAGCTTCTCTCCAGCCCAAACACCTCTTATAACTTCCCTATTTATAGAACAGTGATTTTCAGACTCTGAACAGCACTGCTGGAGGGGTTCACAGAGATGGGTGTAGGTATGTGGGCTGGGATGACTCTCGTCCCCCTGTTCTGACTAGCTCTGTGTGTATTCCTGTGTTACACATAGACCTCTGGTGTATTATCACAGGTTTTACAGAATTCAAATATACCATTTTTTAGAGAATAGAGCAACCAAAAAACAAGGCTCTTCAAAACCTAAGCTGAATTACAGGTGATTTCTTCCACTGCACTCT